TGTTAAATTGGCATTAGTCTAACATTCATATAACACTTTTATGTGTTGGGCACTATTCTGAGTGATTTACCCATTATGACACTTGAAAAAAAAAGTTTCCCCCATAGAAACCCAACAAGTGATGGTGCCATTTTATAGATTAGTACACTGAGGCACAGAGAGGTTAAGAAGGATGTAGATGGCAAGGCCATGATTCAAATCTAGGGAGTCAGGCTGTATAGTCTGGACTGTTCATATTACACTAAGTTGTTTAACAGCATAGGGAGAATGAGTAATTCTCTACTGAGAATTTTTTTTGCCCTATCATTAATATCTTGTACCACAGAAATATACATCTTGGGGTATTTGAAGAATTCTGCTATAGACAATAATGTTGTTGCTGTTAAGTGCCATCAGGTCAGTTCTGAATCATAGCAACCCTATGTTGGACTTCCCAAGGAGTAGCTGGTGCATTTAAACCACTGGTCTTGTGGTTAGCAGTCCAGTGCTTATCCTACAGCACCACACCAGGACTCCAATATTATAGAATAAGAAGCAAAAATATAGTAGACCCTAAAAGTGGTATCTGTATACAAGTCTCTTATTCTAAATCTCTAATATTTTTTATCTATGTCACATGGTAGGATCAACACCAAACTCCTAACCACAGGTTGGTGGTTCAACCCTGCTCCTTGGAAACCCTATACAGGGTTGTTATGAGTCAGAACTGACTTGACGGCACTTAACAACAATTCTATAATTCTGGTTTTTCACTGGCTGAATAATTGTTTTGCCTATATTCTATAGAATTATGTTAACATTCTATAATAGTAGAATTATAGAATAAGAGTTAAAAAGTATTTAGTCAATAAATCATCTGATACAGGCTCCAGACACCCAGGAAGTCTGAGTAACTACTGGGTACTGACAGAAATAAAAAGGTTTCCACAGAATCTAATTCTATGAAGAAAGGGAACCTAAACCACAAAATCTGGGCAATAGCTCTTCCTGATTGTATCCAGATGTCACTTGTAGGGTCAACTACATTAAGCAATTGATCAAAAACTCAGCTGAGGCCAAAGCAGTCTGAGTTAAATAATGGGAGATCAAAGAATAAATGCAATCTCCACTTTCAGAAAGTCAGTACAAAAATGGATTCTTTCCTATTCTGCGACTAAATAGAGTGGTACAAATAGCAAGTTCTAATAAAGAAGCATGAGAAAGTAAAGAGTAAGCAGAGAGTAAATGCTGATTTTATTTGGAAGTATTTGAGACAGTTCACAGTAGAATAAAATCCTCACCACAAAGATGGATGTGACACAAACTCTAGTATGGGTAGAAAAAGTACTTCCATCAAGGGTACACAGCAAATGGTCAGACACCTTGATTTCTGAACTAAACTGTAACACAGATCATTCAATTCATTCATTCAACATGTATTCACTGAGCTCTAGAGGTATCAGCTATGTTGCCAGACTTGGCAGGGGTACAGATGTATACACAATACAGTCTCTGATCAAAAGCAGTTCAGAGAGATTTCTGCTCTAAGACAGAGTAGCTTGTAGGTTTCCTGTCTTCCAGTCTTATTTTTCTTCCAGTCTACTACACTGCCACATTTGAATCAAAAACCATATGGCGTGGGAAGAAATTACATAATTCTATATAACAATATCTCAGTGATAGAATGCATTATCATATCTATTTTTACTAAGACAAAAATGAAACTGTATGTTTCAATAGTACATAGGGTTTCTTTTATACTTGGAAATTCTCATTTCTGCCACACAAATAAAGCATAAATGTATTTTAAAAAACAACTGATATCATTTTTATGTCTTTGTGACGAAAAATTCTACCAAGTGATTTGATGTCACTACTTCAGCATTATCAAAATGGATATGATTCAACTGTGTATATTTTCTATTTATTTCCAATACTTGATTTAAAAAATTAATACAAAATAAAGTCACACGAAAACCATTGAAACACAGAAATATAAGAAAGAGAAGGAAGAAGAAAATAAATTGGGAGTATCAAAAACTAACTGATTCTCCCATGTAACTATCACTCAATTCATAATAAAAACTTAAAAAAAACACACACAACTAATTGAGAAATCTTAACCTTGTAGTATATGTAAAATGTTAGCGAACATAATCATTATTTAGAAGGGAAAAGGCTGTCTCACTATACTATGAAAGAAATTAGCCTGTTTAGCAGCAAAAACAGAAGGGAGTTAACCAAAATATTTTTTTCCATTAAAGAAGAGGAAATAAACAAGGCAAACCCATTCCCTTTGGACAAAATAAACAGCAGCTGACAATTCAATCATTTACTAAGTATTCACACAGCAGCAGCAATTCTCAATGTCTGTCCCAAATTTATAAAGGGCCCTGTGATACAGCAGGTTAAGCACTGGGCTGCTAACTGAAGGGTTAGTGGTTCGAACCCACCAGCTGCTCTGCAAGAGAAAGGTGAGGCAGTCTTAGAAACCATAGGGAGCAGTGCTACTCTGTCCTTGTAGTTTCTATGAGTTAGAAGCGACTCAATGGCAATAAATTTGAGTTTTTTGCCCCCAACGATTCCTTAGTCAAATATTCAACATTCTCTATTAATCTTCTTGGGAATTGCTGCAACTGAGAGTCACTGTTAGTGTTACGAAGGAAATGTGCCAAATTCACTTAAGTGTTCTGGGACAGGAATAAAGATGCAAGTAACTCATCTAAAGCATATGTACATAAATAAAATCAACTTTCTCATTGCAAAACTCTTTTTTTCTCATTATATAATTGCATGTTCTGGCCACCCTTGCTTCAAATGACCAAAAAAACAAACCCACTAGTATCAAGTCAATTCCGATTCACAGAGACCCAACAGTACAGAGAACTGCCCCATAGTTTCCAAAGCGCTCAATCTTTATAGAAGCACACTGCCATGTCATTCTCCAGCACAGCAGCTGGTGGGTTTGACTACCAACCTTTAAGCTACCAGTCAAGCACTTAACCACTGTGCCACCAGGGAGCCTTCTATTTCCATGCAGTGTTCAAATCCCCTTTTCTGAAAATACCGTAATTTTTCACATATAACACACCTATCTATGCATGTAACGGGCACACTTACAGCATAAGAAACTGCTGTGTGTATGGGGGTTTAAAAAAAAAATGTGTAATACATGAGTTATTTGTGTATAATTATAGTAAGTGAAAATTATAATGGTTATTACCAGTCACTAAAAAGACAGAAAGGCAAACAAGTATACCATTTGATGAATTGAGTACTATAACTGTAATAAAACTGGTGGTGGTGGTAGTATGCCGCAGAGTCAGTTCCGACTCATAGCGACCCTGTGTAGGGTTTCCAGGACTATAATTCTCTACGGGAGCAGAAAGCCTCATCTTTCTCCCATGGAACGGCTGGTAGTTTTGACCTTGAGGTTAGCAGCCCAACTCGTAACCACTAAGCTACCATAGCTCCTTAATAAAACTTTATTTATCCTAAAACCCTTCAAAAGCCAGAGTTGAGATAGGCAAACAGCCCAGACTGCTGAAGTCTCACTTTACAGATTACCAATTTTTACTTTATAATCTGTGATGAGATTCTCTTTTGAAATATATCTGCATAAGAACAAATGTTTTAAATTATAAAAGTAATACACAATCATACAAAAGACTTCACTAATTCAAAGTATATGTAGCAAAAAAATGTTAAGCTCCTTCTCTAACCCCTCCACCCTCAACCGCTGTCTCTGCTCCCCAGGGGCAACCACTGTTATTACCTTCCTAGACCTGTTCCTAAATATGCACAAACTTTGTAAATAACATACAGCTCAAGAAGAGCTTACTATACACTTACTATACACATTCGGTTCTGTAACTTGTTTTTACATTCATGAATCAAATATTGTTTAAGACTAAACATACTGTCACAGGCAGACCTGGTTTTTCAAAAATCATTTTCTACCTGACAGACACTTTTAGGCTGACAACTTTTTTCCTTGCAATGAACAGCTTTGTGCATAAACCTTTGCACACTTGTGTTTTCCTGCAAGAGTCTACAAATGAAGTTCTGGATTAAAGAATACATTTTAAATCTTGATGTTGTTATTGTTAAGTGCCATCGAGTTGGTTCTGACCCATAGCGTCCCTGTAGGGTTTCTGCAAAATCCTACCGCCTTTAAAATAACCTGGTTAACTCTTTTCTTAAAGATCCAGCTCCATTCTTCCTATTTCTATTCATTTTATTCTGTTGTAATACAGTGATACCTTTGGGCCCAGAAAAGTACATGACATTACTCATTCCTTAAATTGCACCTGCATTTTGTAATTTTTTAAGCTTTTCCTTTATTGTCCCTTTACACTGTTATCACTGTACTGCCTTCTTTTCTTCACTTCTATTGGTATTTGAAAACTAAAGAACTCAAAGTGCTAGAATCAGGATCAAATAAAAAATGAATAAGGAGTAAATAAGAGAAAGTTTTGACTGTTTAGACATGAATACATCTTTTGCCGCTATTTTAACTCCTCAGAAGCTGTTTAAATTTTTCTACATTCTTGAGGAGTATGGTAGAGATAAAATAAGGAGTCCTGGTGTGGAACTGTGGGTTAATGCACTGGAATGCAAGGTCAGTTTGAACTGCAAAGTTGTCTATTCAAACTCACCACCCACTCCCCTTAGACACCATATACAGGATCCCTATAAGTCAGAAATGGCTCAACAGCACTTGACAACAATTATTATTAATATACTAGTAAATTCCTGTTCATATTCTCATATGGAAAACACTTTGCTTTAAAAAGACCCGGGGGTGAGTAGGTACAGGCAAAAACTTTAGGAAATTAGAAGGAAAAAAAAAAAATTTTAATCCAGTAAACATCACAGAATTGAATCAATCATTAAAATAGACGTTACCTAATTCAATCAATGTGATCTCTAAAATACCATATTTATCTGTAAACTATCTAGTATTCAAGTGCTTAAACATATAATTTCATTTTTGAGAACTGAAAAATAATTTCACTTACCTCAACTGTTTTGCATAGTTCTGTTCAATTTCTATTCTTTCTTTAACAAATTTGGCATATCGTTCCAAGAAATCAATTCCCCATTGTGTGTGCTTATCTAAGCTGTCGAATTGATCCTAGAAAATGAAGATCAAAAATTCATTAAAAACAAAATTTATCCACAAATATGTCGATCAGTTTCTGATATTTATAGAAACATAATGATGTATAGGAGTCCTGGTGTGGTACTGTGGGCTAATGCGTCAGACTGCAAAGTCATTTGAACTGCAAGATTGGTGGTTCAAGCTCACCAGCTGCTCCTTAGAAACCCTATACAGGGTCGCTATAGGTTGACTTGACAGCACTTAACAATAACAATGATGTATAGGTCACTTACAATACATTATGTGAAATAGGATATCATGAGATTTGGACATTGTACAGAAACATATTAAATAAAACCTATGGGAGGAACCCACTTTCAATCTTCATTGTCACTGCTAGTGCTGCTGCCCACTGCCACTGGAGCTACTGGAAGAAACCAAAGGAATTGGCAGCAATTGTTGCAACAGTAGTGGACATAGAGCAAAAGGAAGTAAGCCGAGAGGGAGCAGAGAATGCCCTGTACTGCCCACTGCTCTGTCCACCTGCGCAGCAGGAGCAGCCCAGTTTCATAGACCCCACTGCCTAGCCTGCCCATCAAACAAAATGTGAATGTCCATGCCCGTCTAACAAAGTGTGAACAAAACTGCCTGCTAAAATTGAAACAAAAACAAACATCAAGTATATTGTGAAGCTTGGGTTGAAAAATGGTGAAATCCATGATGCTTTACAATAAGTTTATGGGACAATGCCCCCCCCCCCAAAATCAGCAATTTACAAACAGATAACTCTCAGGCAATTTTAAAGATGAAGCATGAGACCATCCATATCAAGCTGCAAGGAAAAAATTAATGTGCCTATGCCCTAAATGAAGAGGACCAATGATTAACAGTAGAAACAACAGCCACCAACACCATAGACATCTCATACACAGATTAAAATATTTTATTTTATTTGTATTCACTAGCAACGCTCATGGAAACAGCAGTCAAGAAATCTAATGACATATTGCATTGGACAAACCTGAGCTTTCAAGTGTTGAGGGGCAAAGATAGTAGTTTGAGGTCTAAGGTGCAATTGACCCAAGCCATGGTATTTTTCTGGATTCATAGATCAAAATTCCTGAAGTACTTTCTAACCAAAGGACCCCTGCTTTGGTTCCCAAATATTACACCCTTCAGAAATACTGCTCAGCAAAGGAGATGTTGCTTCTTTATTCTGTTGACAAAAGTTTGTGTAGTCTCTGCTTGCTAGTTACCTCTCTATGCTCTATGGAGGAACAACGTTAAGTTGTTCTTAGAAAAGGTCAGCAAATCTGAAACAGCCAGGAGATAAACATCAAGCCTATGTGGAACAAAGATTTTCATGGTCTTTCCCCATTTCACTTGAAAAGATTGCAAATAGTCTTAGCTACTATATTTTAAAGTTATTCTTTCTATAAAATTAATCACAATGAAAATAGGCTGAAACACTCTGTGAACTTTGGACCCAATAATCTTTGTGTGCCTATGTATGATGAAGTGAATAAATGTCACACATGGTTTTTTGTCTGTAACCTTATCCTAATTTCCTTTTTAAAATCCATGCAACATTCACACTTCATCAATGGTTAGTACATATGTTTGTTTTTTCATAAAACATTGTTATTCGTTAAAGAAGTCTCTTATTATTGAGAATATACTTTCAACACATCTTTAGTAGTTCACCAAAAAGTAGTTTTAAATATGTATCATTATTGGAACAGAATCCAGTAAACATTATAAGCTAGAAAATATTAGAAATATCTGCATTTAAATCAAGCTGTACATCAAACTTTCACACTGTGTAATTCTTCTAAAGACATTATTTATTTAAGGGTATTTTCTATATGCCTTGTAATAGCATTTGTTCAGATAATGTAATTTGTAACTATGTTGTTTTCTATTTATTACGTCACTAGTTTTATCATAAAATAAAGAACAAATGTAGCTGTCTTTCACCATTACACCTAAAATTTCAAGAGTCTTCTAAACATTACCAAATTTAGTGAAATTTGTCACAGTCTTGGTTGGTTAGCCCATGGCTTTAAACCAAAAAAATAAATACATAAACTTAACCCACTGCTGTTAAGTGGATTCTGACTCACAACGACCCTATAATAACAGAGCAGGACTCCTCCATAAGGTTTTCCAAGGCTGTAAATCTTCATGGAAGCAGACTTCCATATCTTTCTCCTGTGAAGCGGTTGGTGAGTTCAAACTGCTAACTTTTTGGTTGGCAGTTAAGTGCTTTAACCATTGTGCCAACAGGGGTCTTAGTGGCTTCAAACATCATTAAACGGAGACCCACTTTCAATTCCTGATGAGCACACCTCAGTAAAGCTATCGCTATCTGCCAATGGACAGTTGCATGCTGCTTGACAATGACCAGAATTCAACAAGACTAGGAATAATAGACCTAAATTGGCTACTTATGAAAATCAGTCAATGAAAACTTTTTTGGATTACAATAATCCAATCATACTGCACATGACGGGTCATCAGTAAGCAGTCAACTAGATGGCAGCTAATGACAATAGAAACTTGCAGTGGTATGATCGTTGGTATGAATGAATTTCTTTTTCATCTCTTGCTAATTATGATGGCTTCATTCATGGAGTCCTGAGTGGCGCTGTAGTAAAAGCACAAGACTGCTAACCACAAGGTCAGCAGTTCAAATCTACCAGCTGCTCCTCAGAAATCCTATACAGAGGTGCTATGAGTCAGAACCAACTCAACGGTATATAACAATAATATCATAATGCACAAAATACACTCAGGGGACAAGCTACGTTATATTAACAGTAACATATAAGTCCACATTTCAAATAGTTTTCTTGATAATGTGAGGGTGGGCGAAGATCCAGTACATATGATTTGCCATAGAGCCTTTGTTAAGTTTCTTCATATTTTTAATTAAAAAACAAAACAAGATTTGAAGCATATTAAGATGATAAGCATCAACACTGCTCCCAATATACAAAGGAGTTTCAAAAAGTTTATCTTTTAATTCCATTTTTCCACAAAATTTTTTGAAGCACCCTTATATATTATAGTTAGTCTGTGATCTATCTCATCATAGGAAACTATACCACTTGTGTATTTTTTAAGGGTTAACTTATTCAAAACAGACATCAAAAAAGTGATAATCTGTGAATCTGGTCATAACGTATAATATATACAATACGATGAAAAAAAAGAACTAAGTGATCGCTCAATAATTATGGAATCGTACTCTTCCCTCAAGAGTCTTCTTAAATTGTAATTGACCCTCTCAAACAAGACATTAGTGTCAATTTGTGTTTTAAATAATAATAAAGCATCTTTCCTGTGTTTTTAGATAACACATATAAATAAAACATCTAATCTCTTTCTACTTATCTTAATGGATCACTTGTTTGCCCTTCTTTGAGACCCCTGCTTTAAATGATGCATTATCCTTTGTCAGAACTCCTGGTGTGGCACTGTAGGATCAGCATTAAACTTCAAACCACAAAGTAAGCAGCTCAAACCCACCAGTCGCTCCACAGAAACCCTATACAGGGTCACTATGAGTCGGAACCAACTTGATGGCACTTAACATCCTTTATCAAGTCCTTCCAAGCCTACTGATACAGTCTTGCTGTTCTTTGTTATCTCTTCTAGTATACATGGATTCCAGTTTTCTGTTTAAGTAACAACCTTCTAAACTAAATTAAAACAATATTTTTACAAATTTACACGTATCTTTTTTGAGCTTTTCCAGGAATTTCAAAGAAAAAAAAATTAAATCATTTGAAAGGTTACACTCATGCTGTAATTCCACTGGACAAACACTTAAATAACCAAAAGTTATTTTTACACTAGGTCACCATAAAAATGTATAAAACTACAACCATTTTTTAAATTATCTTCAACAAAATTTTACTTGCATGTGATATTAATGATACTGTTCGGTATTTTACATATTCTGTTGGATCACCTTTCTTTGGAATGGGCACAAATACGGACAGCCAACTAAAATGTCTTAGCATAGATGAGTGAAGGCCTCCAAGTACTGCATCAGTTTGCTTAAGCAATTGAATTGATATTCAATCTGTCAATTCTTGGAGCCTTGTTTTTCAGTAACGTTTTCAGTGTAGCTTGTACTTCTTCCTTCAATACCACTGGTTCGGGACCATATGCTGCCTCCTGAAATGGTTGAATGCCAATCAATTCTTGTTGGTATAGTGGCTCTGTGTATTCTTTCCATCTTCTTTTGATGCTTCCTGCATCATTCAATTTTTTTCCCAAAGAATCCTTGAATACTGCAACCCAAAGCTTGAATTTTGTCTTCAGTTCTTTCAGCTTGAGAAATGCTGAGTGTGTTCTTCCCTGTTAGCTTTCTAACTCCAGGTCTTTGCACATTTCATTATGATACTTTGTCTTCTCTGATTACCCTTTGAAATTTTCTGTTCAACTCTTTCACTTCATCACTGCTTCCATCCATTTTAGCTACTCTGCATTCAAGAGCAAGTTTCAGAGTCTCTTCTGACAGTCACCTTGGTGTTTTGTTTCTTTCCTGTCTCTTTTTAATGACCTTTTGCTTTCTTCATGTATGACATTCTTGATGTCATCCCACAAGTCCACTGGTCTTCAATCATTAGTATTCAATGAGTCAAATCTGCTACTGAAAAGGTCTCTAAATTCACATGGGATATCACAGGGCAGTGGATTACTTCACATGACTCTTCTACCCATAGTCCTTGTAACTCCAACCAAACAACTTTTTCCTGGTTGATCTTCTGATGGGAGAAGATGCTGATAAGATGGATATGATTCAGTTGTGACTGTTAGCAGAATTCATTGATATTATTAACAGAGTTCACTGTAATCATAAAAACTTGGAACCCTAATAGGGTGTAAAGCCAGCCATCTAAGAAGCAGAGATGGAAGAGGATCTCACTAACATCAAAGGCAAAAGGCCAGGAGTAGAACATGTCTTTTGTACCCCTAGATCCCTGCACACTGAACTTTCTGGACCTAGAGACTGA